GCGGGGCAGCCAGCGATCACTCATGCGGAGAAATTCTCGGTGGGTTTCTGCTGCACCAACCAGTCTTTATGTGGATTCCAACGAGGTAAATTATAGGAGGGCTACATAGGGAAATTATGGGTCGTACACGCTGATCGAATGATGATGCGACACGGAGACATGATCCGGTGTCACCCCGTACAATCATCTCATTGTTAGCTTCGACAATGGATTAAGAATGAGGTCCCTGGATACTTCACATACTTACGCAGAGCCTGAGACTGAAATTCTGCCAAGCGATAAGTGAATTTTTGAGATCTTTCCCATCTCATCTATAGGTATCCGCGATCGTTTCCATGACCGAATTCGTCCGTTGTATAAGCTTGCGGACCCCAATATCTCACCGGCAACTATTCTTGTCCTGTTGGTCGATGTTGGAAAAATGTGTTGTAGAGGTGTTCTAATGCAAGTCTGACGACTTGGATCAACATCAGTATTCATTTGTGCCACGTTATGCCGTTCAACGTTCGAGGAAAGTCCGAAAGAAGCCGCCCTACAGTGCATGAATCAGCAACAGCGTTGGCACTATTTCTCAGAAGGAGTAATGCACCGGGTGAGGCAATTGTAGCGGATATGAAGCGCTTTAGGCAGATACGAGAAAAATACCTATGCATACAAGGCCAATTCATGGCCACGCGATCTCCTGGAACAGGTCAGGTACGGGATACACCCGCCAGTGACACAAGAACAACCCTAGGCAATGTTTGCGTTTACTATCATGATGGTCATGCTTAACCAATGTCGGCCTGGTGTGTGTAGAGCAACCATTATCTGTGTTTAGCGTTCACCTTGGTCCACGCAGTTGAAAAGATTGCAACGAAATTCTGGATCCTGTGATGGAAAGTCACCTCATGTAGTCAAAGCTGAAGCTCCGGGTTCCCATCTTCTGATCCGATATTATGGGATAGTGGTAAACAAACAAGTACAGGAAATGTAAGAGCACCTGATATATGTGGGAAAAGGGGTGGAAGCTGAAGCTTGGGCTCCAAATGCTTCACTGATTCACGTCTGCTCCTTATTTGTCAGGTCAGAGCGCTGTGTCAAACGGGAGTCTTCCTGTTCTACACGCTTGCGAAACAGGTCAGAGCATCTTGTCTAGGTATATTGCTTCTCCATTAATCAAATGCTTGCCTGTCTCTATTATAAGCCTTCTTGCGAGATACCAGCCCAACTACGACTATTGCCTCAATTCTACATATATGCTTCTACTACTGTAAGTGTTTGCCTAATATCTGCAATATGCCTAACAAGGTTACTGCTGCAGGTACTTGTACTGACACCGTTCTCGGTCATCAGCCGATTTGACTCCTAAGCCATCCTTCGCCGACGCTGGCTCCTTCCCAACTTCCAATTTCGCGTAGCAGCAGACTTGACTTGTACAAGCACACTGTGCATGGGAAGTAAACATACTGGTTGGGTAGGGAGTTGGTTTTGCGCCTGATTGGGTCAGGAAGCCAACATTGACTCCGTATGATTCAACATTGACAGTTTGATCCATGTTAGATTCTAATAGGTACATACGGTCACTCATACCCATAATCAACCCATCCACAAGTCGCTTGATACTCACACCACGTAAGGACGGTGTGTGAATGGTTGAGGCATGATTTGATTCGAGCTCGTAGTCTGCTTGTTGGAGGTCTTCAGTCTAGTGGTTTTTAGACATTTTCATCAGTATACTGTAGGTTAATTTCAGTATGTATTAGCTTCAAGCTCTTATTGTAATGTAGAAGGTCTCTAAGAACTCCGCACATGAAGCAGAATATATATATATATATATATATGTATGTATAATAGACTAACCGAAATCGACTTGGACTATGCGTCGGGGCTTATGCTTCCTTCGACCTAGATGCGGACGTTCTGCGTCAAATATATTGCTACTCATCGCTTTCACATGATTCTATATTTTGCGTAATATGACCCTAAGATGCTAGTGCCTAGCCCATGGCCCCATAAGGTCTCTCACTGACATGAGCATTGACCTTGGCAGGGAAGCTCAGATCACTACAAGAACCCCTCTAGTCCTATTTCAAGATATTTCCGTCCTATAATTGTTAATTGACTGAAAGACCCATTCCTACAGAGCACATAAACTTATGATGTATCCCTCTCGCATATTGACAAGAGCATCGCTTGCTGGCTGGTCCTATGCCCTACTTCTTTTGGCGTTATCGAGGCACACTGACGCGACATCGAATTCTGAGAGGTGTGATCAGCAAGCGACTACTGGCATATGATGTAATGCACGAAACTAACATAAACCCAGACAAACCCCTTCTGAAGAATGTACTCGCCCCCCTCCCAACAGTTGCGACTTCTACGCGCAATGCCTCGAGACTCGATACCACTGTGGACCTTCAGGCTATCCGATTGGATTCGGCCAGAAATTCTGTGAAAAGTCTCTCGTCTGGAGACCGAAGATGAGCGTATCCGGTCAGGAATGGATCACCAAGACGATGCTCTGCCTACAGGAAGGACTAGTCCCCTTCACCAGTGGTTCAGAGTCGCAGAGCTGCAGTGAGCTAAAGCAGTATGCCCTCGGCACACATGCAGGATGCTACGTGAAAAGTGGTGTCTGCACTCTGCCGATTGAGGATTGGGGGAAGATCTTGGAAATTGTCGCTCCGGCTTTGATCTCTGAACCAGAGAACTTCAAGTCGGCGTTTGAGACTGCCGGAGACTGCGTGTTGCTGTATATCTGGTTATTGGCCAGAGCTTCTCGCAGCTCTGTGTCTTCTCTAGATTGAAATGGACTTCTACTGTCTGCTCTTGGTGCGCGGATTCAAGATTGGGAGGGACGGGATTGGGAGGGACGGGTCGGGCCGTTTGCTTAGAAGGTTACACAAGCAGTAGACCTGACTTATATTTGATGTGTACAATAATGAGACGATTCTCCGCGAAGCTGGCCCATAACAGCAGTACATACTATACCGACGGACCTTTAACAATGGATCTCATATATGTTTGATGTGCCCGATGCTTCTTGCCTGCAGTTCAACGATGCAATCTGAATATTGGAATGTTTCTACTAGAGGACCAGAGGTTCTTGCGTCAGAAAAACTACGCCTCAAACACTGCGGATGCTAACACGGTATGAGAAGTAAAGTGTAGGTATTCCTCTCCAATGTTTGCCCTGAGATGGTCTGCAACTCTGTGCCTCGATGAAAGAACGACGTTGCCCAACCCTTCTCCGAGGTATAGTCAATACGGCAGACCCCTCCATGCCAGTTATCACACCATCCAGCACTCGATTCAGCGCAATCGTCCTTTTCTCTCATAGACGGAATCGCCCCAAGCTCCAGAGACTCTACCGCTGTCCGGTCCATGCATGCTCGTTAACGTCCCCTGTATAAGTAAAACCGCAGCATGTGAAAATATGGGCCATGTATTTTGCTTGCAGAGCACACGGATATTCACTGCTTGTATGATTAAGTAGATCGAGAACGATTTGGAGTGCTCAAGCTACGCAGATCAAATATCCCATCATTAGCCTCTCACTCTTCGTCAACACTGGGACTTTGAAGACCTGGTCACTTACCCGATGCACCCTTCCTGCTTCAAGGCCGTTGTGACTGGTAGGAAGTGATTGTAGCAAAGGCTGTTACCGTCAGATACCAGCAGGCTTTCCATGCCTGATTCGGGGAGGAACTATTGGTGTCTATTGCTCTTCGACATGCTCTGCTCTGCGTTGACCAGATACTTAATAGAGCACGGAGCACGGGTCTTGTCGCCTGGAACCGAAGCATCAGCGGATGAGAAAGCACATCAAAGGGAAGCAGATCCGTAGCTGAAATTACTCTTGTACTCTCACGGAGATCAACCATAACTGCCTAAATAATAATGTTTCTTGTGCGCGTGTATCCAATGGTCCTGTTCGGTTGCCTCTCTTCAGTTAGTATTCATATTATGGCCAGAATATAATGTGCAAGGCTTTGCAGCTGAGACTTACCTTACATAGGGATGTAAAGATACCGATTAGATCAGTAATTAGATCGACGACAATCAGCATTCTAGAGCGAAGAAGCGGAAGATGAAGCAGGCTGATCCTCGAGCATACCATGAAAGCCACGCATAATGCATGGGTGTTGATGGAGGCCAAAGAAGATATTAGAATGAAGGTATAGACTTGGGATTTGAAGCCTTTAATGCCTGAATTCTCTTGTGGAACGCTGTAGTCTCACCCTGCAGCCTCCATATCAAAATTTCAAAGATAATAGTGTAGCATAATAGCATTATGTTATTGCTTGACTTGGAAAGGATTATATGTCTAGCCAAAGCGTTATATGAGGCTGCTCCCTATATACATGCTCTTATACAGGCCAAATGCACAGCTCATAATGAAGCATAACATACCTAAACTTTGATCTTTTCCACTTTCAGGTCCTGTGCTGTCTCTGCTATAGCCATCTTCCGCTAACAACAGTATCATTCACAATCGAGATTCACTTCTACATGGATATAACCTTCCCGAACCGCCTGATGTCTCGAACCTGTTTCTTGAAATGGGTCGGCTGGGAGGTCTCGGTCAAATTAACGGAGTATTCCGTGAGATTATTCACGGCACACCCCATATAGAAGGCTCTCGCACTGAGAAGAACAGGTAAGAGACGCCATTGTCCCTTCCAGGAAGCATATCATTCACGTACAATGCTTCTCTAGGGATAACGCCACCGTCATCGACCTTTCCATAAGTGACGATGGCAGAAATCTCTGCTTTGGATATTCACGACTCCAAAAAATTAAGCGAGATAGCTGTTATAGTGCACTCTTTAGCGACAAGATCTCAGGTATAAATTCTGCCTTCTTCTCCTGCTTCTGCTTCTCGTTCTCTTTTCCTCCTCGCCCCTCTTCGCATCGATCTTCTTCTCTTCCTTCTTGAAAGCTTCTGATTCTCATCGATCAACAACATCTTCGCTCATACAACCCTTCTTGTGACGTTCTGTCAAGCTTCAGTCACAATGAAGTTCTCCACTCTCGCTCTCAGCGTGTTTGCTGGTATGGCAGCTTCTGCTGCTATACCTGCTTCTGTCGTTGATGGCATGAACCTCTCTGACAACGGTCTTGGTACGTTCTTACCTCTTGTGTTTTGTCTTAGCCCACCTCACTCTCTTTCCTCTTCTTTCCAACGTTCCAAGCAACCGCCTCATCCTACTAACACGTTTGTTCGTTCCACCTCAACAGGCCTTGTCAAACCTGCTGATCCTGTTTGCCACAAAAATTCCGACTGCGGTCCCGGCGTTGGCTACTGCTACAAGGGCATCTGCCTGGCTGAGCCTCCCAAGGTCGAACGTGCCGATCCCATCTGCCACAAGAACTCCGACTGCGGTCCTGGTGTGGGCTACTGCTACAAGGGAATCTGCGTGGCCGACCCTCCCAAGCTCACTCGAGATGATGCTTCTATCGTTCCTTGCGGTGCTAACAAAGATTGCTTCAATGGTCTTTGCATTGCTGGTATTTGCCATTGGGGCATTGGAGAGGGTCCCGCCTCAAACACTGCGGACAAGAATCTTGCCCCCCTTGTTCAGACTTCTGAACCTGCGGATCCCGCTTGCCACAAGAACTCTGACTGCGGCCCTGGCGTTGGTTATTGCTATCATGGCATTTGTCTTGCGGAACCTCCCAAGCTTATCTCTCGTGACGAATCTGCCGACCCCGTCTGCCACAAGAACTCCGACTGCGGTCCAGGTGTTGGTTACTGTTACCATGGCATCTGTGTCGCTGACCCTCCCAAGGATGCTCGTGAAGTGTCGGCCGACCCTGTCTGCCACAAGAATTCCGACTGTGGTCCTGGCGTTGGCTACTGTTACCATGGCATCTGTGTCGCTGACCCTCCCATGCTTGCCCGTGATGAACAGACTGATCCCGTCTGCCACAAGAACTCCGACTGTGGTCCCGGTGTGGGTTACTGCTATCATGGCATCTGTGTCGCTGATCCTCCCGTTGTTTCTCGCGGCGAAGAAGCCGATCCTGTGTGCCACAAGAACTCCGATTGCGGTCCAGGTGTTGGCTACTGCTACCATGGCATTTGCCTTGCTGAGCCTCCCAAGTGAGGAGTTCTGTAAGCTCGCTGAAAACAAGTGGTTGTTGCTGGTAAGCTTTCTTCTCTTCTCTGAAACGACGACTTCTTGCTAATGTGGTTGTGCAGATGCAATGAACTTACCTTGTCTGTCCTTTCGACATCGACACAGTGCTTCTCTCCCGGTTTTTCACTCATAGTAACGTCGCTCGGGGGATGACTGGATCGTCTTTGGTGGCTTGATGTTCTCTGGGTGGTTGAATTTGGGGGATGAAGATCGATCATTTACTGGCGTTACACTTTGTCACAGTCTACTTCGGCCTTCTGAAAGTAGATTAATGAATTTATGACCTGATCTTCCATCTCTTGCTTCATTGTGCTCTGAGTAGATTGTAGTATGACCTTATACTTGGTCAAGTCTATCTCTGTCTGGGGTTTTCCAACAGGATCATGAGACCAACATCAGCACGAGTTGCTTGTTTTGGTGTTTGCTTTTATCCCACGCGTTCACGCATACCCTATGTAAGGACTTATAGAAAGTTAGCTCTTTCCTACGGACTCGTTCTCCAGTTCTTTCGCAGACGAGAGACTGCAAGTTTGCCTCGACAGTTGATCGATTTCGAGCTATCAGCCAACATTGCATCAACCAACTCATCCTTTTCGAGCATATGCCTACAAAAGGAAAAGCCACTGTACCGTTTCTGGTCTTTCAAGGAGCAACAAACTTGTTGCCTTATGCAAGTTACGACCGCTATCTCACTAATTGTTCTACCCGATCCCTAGTCTTCGATGCATGAGCGCAGAACTGATCTTACAATCGCGTTTCTAGTTCCCCCTTTTGAACTTGCGCCATTGCTGCCATACGCTTTCACCCTAGTGTCTACCTCATATATTTTCTCGGAACCCTGGGCTATGGGACGACTGGAAACATAGAACCGTGCTTGCGCTGTATCGCCAAAGGTACGGATGGGATACACACCTGGACATGGTTGCTCTTGTGTCTGTCTGACTCTGTCGTCTCGTGACGTGGATTATGCTCCCCAGACATGGGTAGATGGCATGGTTCTTGAACGTGCAAATGGAAGCAACAGAGTGGACAAGGGTTTTCTCGACCATGTGGAACGTATTGTGCATTTCACTTGCTGGCCATGGCGAGTTCGGTAAATAGTCCGAGTTGGAGGTTCTCCTAGTGTTGATGTATTCTAATGGAAGTCACGACTGGGATGTTCTCGAGCGTCGATTGGGCAATAATTAAAACCACCTCATGCGAGAAACCGAAACACGACATGAGGGCCTCAAGCTGAGACAGGAGCGGGCATCTGAGGGACAGCAACAACCTTCGCTCGGTGATCAGGTCTTTATGGGAGAACAACCAGCAAGGGAATAGGGCTGCTAGTTGAACAACGAGGAGGTAATCAACGTCTATAACCAATTATACTATTGAAGTGATTACTATATAAGAAAATTAATGATTGGTAATATACATAACCTCCACGTCTATACAGCTCACTAGAAACCAATAGAGCAAAGCGGGCCGTAATCCAACCCGTCCAAGTTCTTTTGGTAATATGTCATGCTGCCCACACACTTGGGGCAGTAGAACACTCCCTCAGGATCATACTTCTTCTTGATCAACGCGAGGCGGATGTAGTTGATGCCGAAAAAGTCCGTGGCCCAAAGAGGGTCATTGCGGTCAGCCTGTCATAGTCAGTAGGAATCCTATAGCGCAAGAGGGAGCTAACCCACCTCATTCATGTAACTGCCCAGGAACGGCGTGAGTAGTCTCATGGCACCGCCCTTGACGTATGTAATGTCGTCCTTGATAGCCTGAGCCGTGGCCGCATCCGCGCCCTCGGGCCATCCTCGCGCGACCACGTTGACAACGTAAGTTGAGCGCCAGGCGGGGTTGACGCCAGAGTAGGGATCAGAGCCGTCCGTGAGCACCTTTCCGCCGCCGACCATCTCCAAACTGTTGATGGTGTACTCCTGGGGCTTGCCGGCGATGGCGCCGATCATGGAGCGGAGGATGGTGGGATCCACAGTCAGAGCACCCTTGTCAAACATGCGAGAGGTCAGGGCGGAGTTGGCCGAACCGACGGACTGGTGCGTGCCCGACATGGCGGTGTAATAGGCAGGATAGCTGGGGAACTGGTAGTAGTTGACGGTGATGAAGAGGGAGGTGCCGTTGTATTTCTGCAGCTTGGACAGCAAGGGCGCGAAAGCGGCCTGGGAGGCGCTTAGCGACTTGCCCATGGTTGCAATGGCGTGAACGTAGCCAATGGTCTGGTTGCCAAAGAGGGCCATGGGTCCGTTGATAGACCAGGTGCCGTAGCCAGAGTAGCCGGCGTCAGACAGAGCAGGATATTGACCATAGATATCGGTGATAGCATCCAGGAGAGGGTCAGTGTTGCTGGTCAGCGGAGTGATGGTGAGAGACTGTGCGACGACAGGCAGGGTGGGATACGCCTTCAAGGTCATGGAGATGACCACGCCGTAGGTGCCTCCTCCCCCGCCACGGATAGCAAAGTACAGATCAGAATTCTGGCAAGCGTTTGCGGTGACGATGCTGCCATCGGCCAGAACAACTTGCGCTTCGAGGATCTGGTCGGAACCAAGACCGTAATCGCGACTAGCGGGTGAATGACCGCCACCTTGGGTGTAACCACCGATGACACCGACGGTCTATAGGGTTAGTCTATGCACTGCCCAAATGAAAGCCGGAAGGACTTACGGGGTCGCCGCCACCGACGATGGTCAAGTTGCGCTTGAAGACTTCGGCATACACGTCTTGCCAGACGTAACCTCCAGCGACGGTAAAGGCAGCACCGGTCCATTTACTCTTGACACACCCATCCGATGCTTTATAGCTCTCCTGGTATGTGATACCCTTCTGAATGTACTTGATCCAGATCTGGAGAGCGCCATATCCCTCCGACCTTGTTCTGTCAGTCTTTTTCGTAGAAGCGCGGCGGGAACAGATACATACTTTCCCAGAATGTCATGTCCTGTGTTCCTCACAACCAAACGCACATTATTCTTTTTCGCGAAGGCAATGCCAGTTGCCAGCTCCTCTGGTTCTGTCGCATTGATTGTGTACACTGGGGCTTGGCCAAGGCTGCAATTTCCGGGGGTTTTGCCGGAGCTCAGATCGACAGGAGGACACGAGTCATCAGTCGGGTAAACGTAACCGACTGGAGAGAGAGACTGAAAGGTGGAATTGTACCATTGCGAGTACACGTAGGCACACTGTTCCTTATTCTGGTAAGGACCGGGGTAGCAGGAGATGGCGAGTGGCGCATCGAGAATGAGTTTGCCGGAGACGGAAGAGTTCAAGGCATTCCAGGTATCGATGGAGGGCCAGCAGGAATCACCTGGTGCCTTTGAGATGTCAGCTTTTGCTTTGGTTCTCTACTGAGCGGAATACTTGCGCATTTGCACGAGGGTCCGAAGGTAGCGTAACTGAGCCCGGACAGGGCCAGTAATGAAAGGAGCGTGGAGCCCATTGGGACTAGGAGTGGGCTGGATTAAAAGTACGAACAAAAAAGAAAAGAAGAGAAGCAACGGCAAGGAACGAATGACAGACGTTGGAAGCAAGGGGTTATCAGCGCCACGAGAGGGACGTTGGGTGCCGCATTTAAGTATCAGGAACCAGGTGGTGCACTTGCATAACATTCATGTATGGATGCAGTTATGCAGGTACCAAGACAACTATGATCTTCGAGTCTAGACAAGACCGTTATTAATTGGCGAGCTCGTCGACTCCATCCTGGCGTCGAACTACCCGAATTAGTACGCAGGTCGGTGACATCGGCTAGGTGCTTAGCTTCATTCCTTGTGAACGTGCCTGGGGAATGGAGTAGACCTGGCGATGGCAGTGCTGGATGACCTTTGGACGGTTGCTTATCAAGTAATCATCATAAATTTGGGCGATTGAAACCATTACTCATGTGGTCTAGGTTCGAGTTGGCTGGTGCTACAAACACGAGAGAGACATTCCGTCCCGACGTTCCTGAATGCGCAAAAAAGATGATATCTACCTATGGTGGATTGGGTACCTGGCAAGTATGTTCAATTGTCCAGAATCTCCAGGATCGGATTCGGACAATGGGGCAGTGGGCCCTGATAGAGGTGGATGCGATTTAAGCGAGGAAGCGTTGGAGACACTAGCATCAGACTAGACGGAGCTAAACGGTGCCTTCATTAGGAAGCAACCTCTGAATGGTCCCTTGAAGTCTTTGGACGGAGATGACCCTGAGACACCAACATGAGGAGTGTCAATGCCGTCGGTCCCTCGGAGCACCGCGCGGTTCTTGTGATTTAGCGTCTCCGGTGCATTTCCCTGCTGGGAATCGCTTCATTTCCTTTGCTTCGCTTAAATTTAGTCCTCGTAAGCTTTTATTGATCTGGTCGATTAGTCTCCCGACCTTTAATGACAAGATTCTATCAGACTTCTATTTTGTGATGATCTGTTGATCGTTCTGGTTATCAAGATTATGGTATGTGGCGATCTGTATATTAGACAAATCCAGCGATATAAATCTCGTCAAGTCATCAACAGCAACACCGTTGAATTGGTTGCAGCAAAGACGGCTTGCTTAGCCTCGCATAATCCTTGCTAGACCAATGCATCCATGTCTGTCACTACCTATTATTGACGGAAATCCAGCCATGAGGACTCATCTACCAGGATGTTGAAACCGCTCCTTGTCCAGTCTTATTTAGTGCGCTCTTCAGTCTATACCCCTTCCGATAGTTATCCAGTATCCGGCCCAAAGAAGAGATTTCGCCCCCATTTACGTACGATTTTGGCATTCAAGTAATTCACATGCCATAGAGAGTAGTCTACTCAGCGAGATTCCGGGTCATGAAGTCTGGAACGGGGCTTTCCCCTTGTTTCGACTCCTGTTGGACCGATGCTGCCGTCAGTAAGCACCTTACGAAGTCAACCCTTGACTCTTCTAACAGGACTCTCTTCCCTGTAGCCATGCGGAATGACAGAAGCAATGCAGGCTTCCCCGGCTATAATATATTGTC